TGCGTATAATAGGAGCATTCATACATCTACAAGATTTTCACCTTTTGAGATTATTTATGGTTTTAATTATTTAATTCCGTTGGACTTCACACCTTTACCTTTGTAGGAAATTCAGGATACCGATGGTCAACGGAAAGCAAAACTTGTTAAAGTCATACATGAAAAGGTTAGGCAGCATATCCATAAAAAGAATGAATACTATGCACGACACACCAATAAAGGAAGGAAATGAGTAGTGTTCCAACTGGGCGATTGGGTATGGGTTCATATGCAAAGAAAAATATTTCTCAATCAACAAAAATCTAAATTGGACCCCCGAGAAGACGAACCTTTTCAAGTTTTAGAGTGTATAAATGACAATACCTACAAAATTGATCTCTCAGGTGAGTACAATGTGTCTACTATCTTTAATGTTTCTGACAATTTCCTTTTTGATGTAGGTCCAGAATCGATAATGAATCTTTTTAAAAAGGGAGAGGATGATGTGAGCATGAACATGGATCAAGTTGACAGAGATGATATATCAATGCCAAGTGACCCATTACAAGCGAGAGAGTTAAAAGATTTCAACAAGTCTTCTAACTTTTCATCAAAGCATAGATCAATGAGAAAGATAGGTTTGGACCCATTAAAGAAACTCCAAAAAAGAAAACAACATGGTCATTAACCCAAGAGTATAATAATATATATTATTCACTCCAAGTGCAAGAGGAAAATAAGCAAAAAAAAGGAAAAATTCTGTAAGACATGAAAAAGGAAAATTCCCGTAAAATTTTATTTCCTAATCATGCAGAAAAATTTCACTATTAAAGATCAACCAAGAGGAGAAATTGCTCATAAATTGCAAACTATCTTGAAAAAGAGGAAAACTCTTTAAATGTCAAATCTCGTGGAAAAGGAAAATATTTGAGAAAGAAAAAAATATCTTAGCATAATCTCTTCCCCTAAATCAGCCACAATTAATTAAGATATCCCCTATTTAAAAAGTTTTTCTAATAGGTGAATCATATATATTCTACTTTAATTGTAATTTTCTTAATTTTTACTAGTTTTTCATTCTAATATAGATTTAATTTCTTATGTAATTTCCACCACTAATTAGGAGATGATTTTTTTTTCTTATTATTCGCATGACCTACACTATAAATAAGCCTTCAATTTAGAGTTGTAATTCAATTTACAATTTTTAACTTATTAATAAAATTTATGTATTACTGTTTTAAGTTTTCAAGCAGTGGGTTTTCGACCGACTTATTGTACTAGGAATTAGGATCACTAATCAAAGTAAGTCTCGTGACGTCTTTTCAATTATAGTTCTTATTTCTTTCCCAAATACCTTAGTTTTCACTCCCTTGTTGAGTACGGGTCAAGTAGGGAAGGTTTGCTAAGTGTTTTGAGTTTCTGATTGCTGATGTATATGCAGGGTTTTAGATTCCATTGTTGATCCCATATTTCGCATCAATAAGCTTCTTTGTGACTCAACCAAGGGCTTTTAGAAATTGTCATTAATCATCAACCTTGAATCTTTCAAGAATGAAGATTATCTCGCAACTAGGATCAAGAACTTACCACATGTATTTGACCCCAATGCTAGCCAATTGTTGTCCTCCCATTGTACTCCTACTCCATGAACTTTCTTCTTGTCCCCAATAGAACTCATCCAAAACATTCTCCAGTCATCCATCTCAGCTCTCTCAAAAACAATGGAGGGTTGAGAACCTCGACCATTCTCTAAGTTTCTTACTAAGTCAAGAACTCCATTCTAAAAGGCAGTATCAAAAGATTTAAGGCTCAATGAGCATGAACTTCTAAGTCAGAGAAATGACTATCATGAGGGTGAAGGAAAGGTAGACTAGAAGAATCTGGTTTAGAGAAGGAAGAAAGACAATCCATAGAGAGAGAGAGAGAGAGCATTTTTTCATTACACTAAAAATACATGCAAGTCACAGTTATTTGTTTGGAAAGCATAAATACTGCATCATCTCTGGAAATCATGGATTACCATTCCCTCAAGTAGTTTTCTGGTTGTACGTAAAGATCTCAAACCAGGCTCTTTCAGTTTCTCCATTCCCTGGAAATATCACAATTTCTCAAAGTCCGTAAAACATTTAAAAATTCTAGAAGGCAATAAAACATTAAGATTCTTGATATCTATAAAATAAAAACATTATATAATGTGCCCAAGCCTATAAGCTAATCACAAGGACCTTCAAGTAGCCTCCAGGATCGTGAGTGTCAATACCCAGGAAATGCCCCAGCCCATGAGGCATGAAAACAGCACCTAATCGCTCAATCATCATATCATCAACATTGCTAGAAGGAAAAAAGTAAATAGATAAAGAACAAATAAATTTATATTACACCAAATAAAAGTCAGAAGAAAAAGACAACCCTATTCAAGTGCTATTAATGTAGCACTGTGGAATTTGGAACAATTGAAAAAGGAAATGGAAAAATCAAGTCCACAATTAGAGGATTGAGAATAACCACAATCACTGGATTGTTGTTATGCATTCAATTAAAGAGTGTAACAGAAGTGGAGAAGAATAATAGGAATATTATTACTATTATCTCACAATTAAATATTATTTCAATGATATTCCCAATTTTAGTTAAGATTTATATGCTAAATTAGTTGTGATTTCTTTCCTATTTTATTAATAATTATATAAATTAGTTTACTATTAGATTTCCTTCTTACCAATCATTGTTCTGTTAATATTAGTTTTGAGACCACTATAAATATGTAAGCTATATGAGTTGTAAAGTAAACACTGAATTTTTTATAAAATTCTATATTATTCTTCATATTTTTTAGTGGATTCCAGTAACATCCTAATGGATTTTAACTTATTCATCTAGTTTGGATGCTATTAAAACACCCTTGTAATTCTGAATGAGATCAAGCAAATATATTCTGCTTCTGTTATGCATTAGAGTCAATCTTGTTCTTACTCAATCCGATAAATAATGTTAATGGTCATGTATTTATAGGTTGCACACATAACCTGACATGACTTTTAATGAAAACAAATAACACAATAAGATTTTTACCCAAATAAGAAATAAAATCCTAACAAAATATAATAAATAGTAAAACTATGCTAGAACATATTGGTAATCCTAGTAATCCTATACTAATAAAAAATATTCTAGATGGTGCTGCATCAATTATAAGTTACCCAACAAGGATGCATCCCTCCTTCAATGACCCGAGAATAATTTTCTCTGCCAATCTGCAATAAAAAGAAGAAAATGTGATCAAGTTGCTAAATTAAAGAAGATGTGTTAAATGTGTCCATACATTGGAAACTCCTAGCTTACATTAGTTGAAAGGTTAAATTGACCTTTAAGCATGAGAATCTCTAACACAAAGCAAAAAATAACCAACAAGCCTTACCTGTGCATATCCACCCAGCTTACTTCAGGCTTCATTGCAGATATGACAGCATTATGAGCTTCTAGTACAGCCTTAACAGGAAAACATTAGAAAGATCAACATTATATCAGGAAAGTTCTGAAAAGCACTTAACTAATTGTCTTGTTTTAGTTTAATACAAGTAATGCATACAGAGGAGAAGCACTAATTCAGTAAGTCACTTACATTATATATAAGACTTTGATCACTTGTAAACTTCCCATTCACCTGCTCAGAAATCAGATGTACGTTACAACAAAAATCAAGATTTAAGCCATCCATGAAACCACTATGCTAGGGTTAAGTGCTCTTCTCCCTATCATACATATAAAATTTCAGACAGAAATATTATCACTCAACCCCAGCCTCGCTCCTGGTGGTTAGTTATCCTGGCCTCCTCGGAGTGCTCGAACTTAATCCCTTGGCTATAAGCCAGCTTTACATCAACAAATCACCAAGGGAGCAGCAGCCTGTTCAAAAAACTTTCAGCAGATAAAAGTTCAATTCATTCTGTGACGTATTCTTTACGGTTAACGAGAAAGTTTTTTGCACCCAAAAGTTTAATGGGTGGAAACCATCTATCTGAAATCATCAAAAGCTTTTCCATTCTTCTCCTACAGGCTCCAAAAATTAAAAAATAGAAATGAACCTTCTAGCCTCCTAGAATGCATGGATGCCTAACCAAGGTGTCGAGTTGTTGCTCATATTCAGAGAATTTTCTGTTCAGAAGAAGATCTCAGTAAAAGAGCAGGGCTTTTTTTGAATTAAATTGTATGATAACATATTCAAAAGCACCAAGAGGGTGAAAAACAGTATACAAAAATATTTACGGATCAATCAGGATATCAATTAGATCCTCCAAATCCTCACTAGATAAAGTGGGTAATCCCTCAACAAATAAATCAGGATCTGGAACTATAAATCCTTAAATCTATCGAAGTTAGATTCTGTCCCTTCAAAACTCTTCTATTTCTCACTTTCCAAGTAGCCCAAAATGCAGCCAAATGAATAAACCTTAATTCCTTATCACCTTTGATGCAACTCCAAACCCATAACTCTTCCCTAACTGAACCAGCTATTCACCCAGTCCACTCCCAAGAAACCACACGCCAAAGACCAAACCTGATGAGCATACAGGCACCATAGAAGAATGCAGTCACAAGATTTTGCATTACCCTTGACAGATAACACTCGTGTTCACTAAAATTTTTCACCTCTTAATTAACTTGTCCGGAATAAGAATGTTTTCCTCACAGCTTTCCAAGTGAAGAAGGCCACCCTAGGAGTTGCTCTAACCTTCCAAATCAGGTTTGTCAAAAAGTCATCACAGTTTTTTGTCCCCCTGTTCAAATGCCAATATAGCGATTTTACTGAGAAGATATTCGACACATTTAACTTCCATATTGGTCTGTCTTTATGATCTTGGACCCTTTTACCTCTGTGAAGCACCTCAATAACCTCAAATACTCATGGATCTCCCAGTCATTTAGATTTCTGACCAGCAGAACCAACCATCCACACTCCCTCCAGAGTCTATCAAGGATTCTCTGATGGTGGC